ATTGTAAAGGTTAAATAATGTAAGTAAAATCATTTTGCATTATAAAAAAGCATGGTTTTAAAAGTTTATGCTGTTTTAAAAGGAGAAAAACTGAAAAAATGGTCCAATTTGTGTTCATGTCCATATATAATCAATTCAATAGTCCCTATTGCTTTACCTGGCTTTATTTTCATCCACAGCTCTTTTCATTATCTGACAGTATATTATACAATTACTCCTTACAGACCTTATGCCTGGCATAGAGCAGGCATTTGAAACTTCAGTGTACATACAGAGATAATGCTGCAAGATTAAGTTAAAAATCCAAATCCAAAGACCAAAGACAAGTTGGAGCAACCAAATCAATTATTATACTGAATCATCTCAACAATTTCCTTTTAAAAATAGCTGACTTGATTTTAGCATACCATCGAAACATACTATCAAAGGATAGGCAAATGCTCACCTGTCACTCCGGTTTTAGGGTAAAGAAACTGGAAGAATTCCTCAGGGATCAGCCCAAAACGAACTTTTCCTCCATATTCAGGAAGAGGCGGCACAGGGGCAAGACTTGGCTGTCCTGTGTGAAAGATCCTTGTTGCTTGCAATACCCTACAGGTAGCAATTGTACATATGTAAAACCTATTCTTTAAAGATAACAAATGTGTAAACAATTAGCAAAAACAATTATTCAGGCTATGGACTGAGGTAGTTTCCTATTAACTGACATAACGGAAAGAAAATTGACTTGGAATAGGAAGGTTAGGGTCCCATAATTAGCTGTGACAAGGACAATGACTTAATCACAGACAATTAAAGTCATATATGTAACCTTCTACCTAACACTGGAATCTTTTCTATATGTCTCATAGATCATCTGTCTAGCATCTTGTATATCTATTATTAGCACTGACGTATATAAGAACAAGGACTCCTAGACTCGTCACTTGACTGTGAGTAAGGAAAAAGTTTTTGTTAACTCAGATTTCTCCCAGTAAAATGGGAATATAAGATAATAGCTTCTGGGTTGTTGTGAGGATTAAGTTAATATATATGTAAAGTGCTTAGCATGATGCCTGGTAAAGTTCTATGTAAGTGGGTAGCTATTACATGCCTGCTGTGTTGTAAGCTCCTTGAAGCCAAGAATTTGACCTTTATGAATACTTCCTTTGATAGGGTGGTAATCACTATGTGTAACAGGTCTTTTTAGTATTGGGTAGCTCTAATATGTTCATCTTTGAAGTGAGCTGCTACATACATCCTTGGTTCTAATTTTGCTTTTCCATGTATGATAACACTCATGTATCTGTGTTAAACATCTCATTCCCTTTACAATCCTGACTGACAACCACAAGGAGCTCTCTGGTTTTGTTTTTTAAAAAAATAAGGTATCCAGACTGAACATAATACTATAAATATAGTCTGACCAATTTATTCATTCTACAAATATTTATTGAGAAGTTGCTATTGCCAGTACTGGGCTTGAACCATTATGCTATTATCAACAATGGATTTATAAACTATTCTTATGTTAAAGCAGCCTAAAATAGCATTTTTAGCATGCAATGAGCATATTGATGTCTCATTAAGCTTCTGATGAAATAAAATCTAATCTGCTGTCAAGTTTAGTCTTCTTCAAGTTCTCAGTCTATTTCATTGATTTTGGTTCACTACTTATCTTTTGAGATGGAGTCTCACTCTGTTGTTCAGGCTAGAGTGCTGTGGCGTCAGCCTAGCTTACAGCAACCTCAAACTCCTGGGCTCAAGTGATCCTCCTGCCTCAGCCTCCCAAGTAGCTGGGACTACAGGTGCACAGCACAATGCACAGCTCATTTTTCTACTTTTAGCAAAGATGGGGTCACACTCTTGCTTAGGCTGATCTTGAATTTCTGACCTCAAGCGATCCTCTAGCCTCAGCCTTCCAGAGTGCTAGGATTACAGGTGTGAGTCACTGTGCAGGGCCATTTTGGATGTTATTTCTGCCTCCAAATATATTAGCTGCCCCACCAAGCTTTGAAATCTGAGAATCATGCTTGAGATTCCTTCATTTAAATCAAAGTTTCTGAACCTCAGCACTAATAACATTTTGGACTGGATGTTGTGGAAGGCTGTTCTGTGCATTGTAGAATGTTTAGTGGTGTCCTTGTGGCTTTATACTAGATGCTAATAGCACAGCCTCCACAGTGGTGACAATCAAAAATGTCTCCAGACAGTGGTAAATAAATATCCCTTGGAGGGCAAAATTGCCCCAGGTGTGAAATCACTGATTTAAAGTCACAGCATTAGAGGATTAGCTTTAGTCTGACACAAATCCTCTCCGCAACTAGCTTAGTTCAAGCCCTCAACACCTCTTGCTTAAACTAGTTTAACAATCTAAAACCTGGTCTCTCTGCTTCTTGTCAAGTACCCCTTAAAAAACAGCCTCCCCATTACTACCAATGTTTCTACAGTGCAAATTTGACTTGAAAACTTCAATATCCTCTTCAGCCTACAGAGAACAAACCATTATATTTAATATTATATACATGATCCAGTACCTATCAAATTTTATAACCTCATTTTCCTATCCTCCAGCCACATAGAACTATTAACACTTAACAACTTCAAAAATAAACAAAAATTTGCCTTATGCTGCCCCTTTTGTATGGCATGCCCTTCATACCATGACTTCATACCAATGACTGCCAAACCCAACCAACTTTAAAAACATCTCAATCACATCCTTTATAAAGGCCTCCCCAATCTTGGGCTAACATTCATTCATTCATTTAATCAACGAAACATTTACTGATTTTTGACTATGTCTAGAACTGGGAACATAGCAATGAACAAAACCCCAGCCTTCGACATTCTAGTGGGGGTATGGAAAATGTGTATGTCCATACGTAATTTTAGGCAGCTACAAGTGCTATGAAGAAAAATGGAGCAAGGTAAGGCACAGAATGGGGAAAGAGTTTTTAAGAAGGTCAGATGATATTTGAGCCAACGAACTGGGAAAAAGACGGAAGACAAGTAGAAAGATCCCGAGGCAAGAATGCACTTGGCAGTTTTCAAAGGAACAGCAAGGCCAGTATAGTTGGAGAAGAAACTAAAAAGAGAATAGAAGGACATGGAATCAAGAGGTAGGATGGGATTAATTCATGTCAGATCTTCTGAGTTATGCTAAATTTGGATTTTATTTCAAGTGGGATGGGGAGCTCTGGAAGGCTTTAGATGAAGGACTGTCCATTCTCGATATTGTGAGAATGGGCAGTAATGAGACAAGAATAATTAAGGGACTACTGAAATAGCCTAGGTGAAAGTTGGTGGTGGTTTGTACTTCAATAGGAGTGGAAGAAGTAGTCGGAATCTACATATAATCTAGAGAAAGAGCCTTGCTGAAGTACTGGATATGGAGTGTGAAAGAAAATCAAGGATGTTCCTTGTATCTTGTATATATACAAAGTATATATAGTTATTTTACTTATTACCTGTATTACAATTATTTGTTTACATGTTTGTGTGGAGTCCTTTTTCTCCGATAAGTTGGAAGCAGTCAATTATAGACTAACTTTACTGCATGCACAAAACTTAATTACAGATAAATTAAAACGACTTTTCAAACCCTAAGATAGTTATCAAATTTTGCAAGCTTTGGGGCTAAGCTTGGAACTGAAAAGAGAAATCTCAAAGAAAACTGACATGTCTTATGAAATAATTTTAACAGTAACAGCTAACATTTACTAAGCCCACTATATATCAAGCACTGTTTTTAGAGTTTCACGGGAATTAAATCTCTTATTTCTTACAACCCACAATGTACTATTATCTCCATTTTGCAGATGAGGAACTTGACCTCATACAACAAGTCGAAGAGCCAGGTGTACCTTGTTCTAGCTTTGGAGCCCTCACTCTAAACCACTATTTTATAGCTCTGCCTCCCCTCCTAGATTGTGAGCTCCATGACTGCAGGTTCTTAGCCTTACTCTTTTTTTTTTTAATCCTTGGTTATGTGGGTGGCAAGATAAATATTTGCTGAATCAATGAATGATTTTTCTGACTCTTATGATCCAGCAGTAAAAAGTAGAAATCTGGGAGACAGACTGAAAACAACATGCTTCACTGTTTTATTTAACAAAAATTGTTGTTGGCTATGTAATCTAGTAACTCTGATTCAGGATGTGGCTACTACTTCTAGTCGAAGGTCACAAAGGAGAGGGGCGGCCACAGAAGACAGCAGAACCAGTTTCTAGTTTATGTAGAACACATTTCTTATCCTCTTAATGTCTTTGCATTAGGTGATACGGCGACATTCCTGGTAGTTACAGGAACAAGTGTTTGAATGAGGTTTTAAGCGTCCTAAAACTATCTGAATAGAGTAAATTTCTGGCCTAAAGCTAAGAGGAGGCCACCGAAAAACAAAATAAGATGATAAAAACAAGGACGAAGGGGAGCATTACACTCCTCACACTTACCCTGGACCTAGGAGGGCTGAGTTCTTCAGGCAGGGGGCTGCAGACAGACAAGGCGCAGGTCAGCAAAGTCAAGGTGAAATCTAGTTTGCCCCTTCCTCGTCCCCACGGGGCTCAATCTCTAGGCCATGTACCCCTCTTTCCCATACCCCAAGAGCTCGCGCTTCCTTCTGAAGGCGCTGATTACTCCCCACTCAGGTCCAAGTGTCCCTGCGCCTTTCTCCGCCATGCCCCCTCTCCATGACCCTCTAGACTCGCTTCCTTCCAATCACTCTGACAGCCAGACCAGGCTCTACACCCCTCACCCGCTGTGGCGACGGCAGAAAGCACCACTCGGGACAGCATGGTCAGCAAAGGTCCAGGAAGGGGTCTTGGCGTCCCTGTGACCCTGACCAGAGAACCTGTTAGGGACAGGAGCAAGATGGCCGCCCGCAAGTCTCGCGAGAAGAGAACTTCATACCCCTTTTCCCTTTAACTTTCGTCGGGAGGGTTTTCTTTTTCTCGCGAGAACAGGCACGGAGTCTGTAGCTGGAAGGCGGCCGCCGAAAAGCGTTAAGGAATCGTAGAAGCAGTTATCGCGAGATGTAGAGTTGCCGTGGCCTCCAGAGAGGGGCGGAGGTGCAGAGATACACCACGTGGGGAATTACTCTCGGCGCTGAATCTCCTGCCAGCGTCCAGTTTGGATCTAGGTGGAAGTTGGAACCGTGGAGATGCGGAAGGAAACCCCGCCCCCCCTAGTACCCCCAGCAGTCCGCGAGTGGAACCTTCCCCCTAATGCGCCCGCCTGTATGGAACGGCAGTTGGAAGCTTCGCGGTACCGGTCCGGTGAGCCGAAATCCCGGGCCCTCCCCCTGGCCCGAGTCGCCCCTCCTCGGGACTGACCCTCCCAGCCTGCCCTCGCCCTGCATGCCACCCTGCCCCTGGCTCGCGTCGCTCAGCCGTCCCCAATTCTGCCCACCGGGTTCCTGAGCTTATGTCCAGACCCGGCCTGCGTGCTGTTCTGTGCGGTCACCATGGAGACGAGCCCTTCTACTCCCTCGCGCGTTGACAGCTTGTACCCTCGTAGATGGGGCGCTTCTGCTCGGGGCCTCCAGCCTGAGTGGCCGCTGCTGGGCCGGCTCCCTCTGGCTTTTTAAGGACCCTTGTGCCGCCCCCAACGAAGGCTTCTGCTCCGCTGGAGTCCAGACGGAGGCCGGAGTGGCGGACCTCACTTGGGTAGGGGACAGAGGTATCCTAGTGGCTTCCGATTCAGGTGAGTCACTTTCCCCTCATCTCCCGGGTGGAATGGAACCTTGCGGTACGACGAATCAGGCTGGGCTCAATTTAATGTCCCATACTCAGTGCTTGGTGGAAACTGAGAGTGTTGGCCTTAAATGCAAATTCTTGTGTAGGTGGAAAATTTTGGAATTTTCCAAAATTCTAAATTGTCTGGTGGGATTTCCTAGAAAAATCTGTAACATAATTAAGAAATGGACTGGAACCATTTTTTTCTGTATAACCTACTCCCAACCCTGCAGCCCAGACCAAGAGTAATCTTAGTTTTAAAGATGATTTTGAAGCCAAGCTGTCCTACCTGTCTCTTCCCATTTCTTCCCATATTCTTCTTAATTGTCTTCATTCTGCTTTCTTTGTTGTGAATGTCAGGCTCAGCAATGGAGGCTTTAGCATTAAAAAAAAAAAAAAAATCAGAAATTAGAAGTTGGCAGGCATTGCATGGAAGTTTAAAAGTCCCACTTTTTAAAAAGATTGAGCTTCTCTGATAGTTGAGCTTGAATACTACATATTCAAGATAACTTTTCTATACTTACCTAATCACTGTGCAAGACAATCAATTATTCAATGTTTTTAAAAAAGATTCTGCAAGGCATTTATTCAAGTAGTTCCGGAAATATTTATTAGTGTTCAAAGAATTTGTCAGGGTTAACATCACTGTACTGTGTGCTGGTTAGACAATTGTGGAGCTTTCATTCTTATTTCTTGGGAACTGATTTTCCAGTGTTCTCTCACTAGAAGCAGAATAATGGCTTCTACAGGGTGTTCCATCTTTCCCTGTCTTTTTCTAGAAGCTTTCCCCACCTAGTTGTCTGTGCTGTCATTAGGAGAACAGTAATACAACATAAAGCCAAAAGGCTTGGAAGTTAGCTAAAACCTGTAATAGGAATAACTTAATTTTTTTGTTTAGTGACAGTGACTACTTGAATCATAGAAGTGAATTACTGTCGGTATAATCCAAGCTTATGTTTCTCTCACCTTCCCACCCTATTCCAATAGGTGCTGTTGAATTGTGGGAGCTGGATGAGAATGAGACACTTATTGTCAGCAAGTTCTGCAAGTATGAGCATGATGATATTGTGTCTACAGTCAGTGTCCTGAGCTCTGGTACACAAGCTGTCAGCGGTAGCAAAGACTTTTGGTGAGTCCCTGTTCTCATTGCTCCTATCTTTGGGCCTCCTTTGGGTGTTCTTACTATCCTGTTAACCTCTTTAAGTAATGTTTTGGCCTTATTATAAGAACCCAGTGACTACTTACAGCGTGTCTGTAAGTTTTCCTTAGAGATTTTGCAGTCCCTTGTAAATAGACCATAATAGGAGTCCAGGAGGCAAAGACATGGGACATATTGGTTAAAGAAAGTTATGTTTGAACACGTGTTTATGTTGATAGTGTAGGTCAAGATTAAGTGTCTTTTTCCTTTTGCTTCTTAGCATCAAGGTTTGGGACCTTGTTCAGCAGATGGTATTAAATTCATATCGAGGTGAGTATTCCTTTCTTTTCAGTCCTGGCCTTAATTGTTTTATTTTTATTTTCCCCTTTGGGCTCTTTGGACTTTGCTTGGACCTTAGGAGCAGCAGTGCTATGTTCTCATGATAGTTTTCTTCTAAAACTATAGTCAGGCTCCAATATCTATTCCTTATCCTTTTCTCGATTTCCTTATTTCTGTTGATGGTCTCACCACCTTCTCAGCTACACAGGGTTCACACTCTCATTCTTTTTTTTCATTCCTCCTGTTTCCCCACTATCAGTTGTTCACCAGGTTCTTCTGAGTCTTTTTCTACTTACTTGTCAATCACCTTCCTGTCTATTTCTTGCCACCCATTCACTTTCAGCCTTTACCTGACACTGACAGTGGCACTCATCTCCACCTATAATCTTTGGCTCTTTTGATCTTTCATTGGTTTCCTGTGGCCTGTGCATTACAATTCCATTTTCTTGTCACAACATTTAAACCTTGTTACTGTTATTGCCTATTCAAGCATACCACACTAACTTAACCTAGCCACAGTGGATCCTTGACATTCTCAAGGGATTAACTATGAGATCTGCAAATCTTGAACTTTTGAATATTTAGTGCCATAAAATATCTATTTTTCTGGCAAGAACCATCTCTTTAATGTTCTTCTTCTTCTTACTTTCACTAACATTACTAGCAGTTGACTTTATTTTGGGAGCCATTCTTTGTGAAGATAATTTCTAGAGCCTTAATGTGTATGAGATTTAGCTATATCGTACTTCTCTAGCCTTTTATTTCTTAGACATATGATGTGCTTTTCTGGTTATTGCTAACTCATTTTCAACACTACCCCCATTCAGCCTTTCCCATTAGTTCTTTGTGTTTGTGTTTGATTCCCTTCACTGAATTCCAAATCCTTTGAGGGTAGAGGAACCCTGTGTTCTTCATCTTTTATATACCACCATGGTACTTGTACCAGAGATTTGCTTTTTTTCTTTTGAGACAGAGTCTCACTCTGTTGCCCAGGCTAGAGTGCCGTGCCATCATCCTAGCTCACAGCAACCTCAAACCTCGAACTCTGGGGCTCAAGCAATCCTTCTGCCTCAGCCTCCCGAGTAGCTGGGACTACGGGCATGCGCCACCATGCCCAGCTAATTTTTTCTATATATTTTTAGTTGGCCACTTAATTTCTTTCTATTTTTAGTAGAGACAGGTCTCGCTCTTCCTCAGGCTGGTTTCGAACTCCTGACCTTGAGCGATCCACCCACCTCAGCCTCCCAGAGTGCTAGGATTACAGGCGTGAGCCACCATGCCCAGCCTATGAGATTTGCTTTTTTTCAAATGAGCAATTAATTCCTTTTCTGACTTGTTATACTGTTGCTTTCTATGGACTCTAGAGCTAGGAAAGAACTAGGGAAGGCGATTTAAACCTATCTTTCTCCCTCTGGGTGGGTCCATATTCAGATTACCTTGGAAAGTGGTTAAGTGACTTTAGAGAAGGTGGTTTCCACAGTCTTTAATTCATACGTAGCAGTGATTTTCAAAATTGAAGTAGTTACACAGAAGATTATTTCTGGCATGTCATTTATTATACACTTCAAGCATATATTTGTCAAAATTTTGAATTTGTAGATTAAGCCTATTTAATTTATGTAAAATGTCTACCAAATAACACAACTGGCAAAAACCAATCTGCATTGTTAAGCCAGTTGGCCAAGTTAGACTAAACTTTCTGTCAGAAAAAGTCTGACTTCATTTTTAAATTCAGATAACTTGTTGGATATATACTTATGACAACCATCTGTCATATTTTTTAGTTCTTATTATTAGACAGAAACAAAAGTAAGTCACAGAACCACACTTGTGTTTATGGTGTGACTGACGGGGATGTCTTTCTTTCGCTCTTTGGCTCTTAGGGAAAAGCATCTTTTGTCCCTTAGTTTGGAACCTTTACATGCATTTTTATTCCTCTGAGCACTCTACCATGGAAAGATTTGGGATGGGTAAGAGGTATGTGTTCTTTCTATAAAGTGGGACACAGTCATTGTGGAAGTAGAGGCAATTCAATGTTAGGAAAGAGAACATTGGAAAAATTGATTCCTTTAAAACTGTCAGTGCTCAGAACTCCCTCAAAAGTTTATGTATACTGCTTGGAGGCATGTGTATTCCAGTATGAAAACTGCTATTCTAGAATTATTAATATATAGCCCCTACATCCAGGATGTTTTCATTGTAAATTCCTCCAGTGTTTCTCCTTCATTGTCTTTACTAATTCATTTTCTCACAAGCCTTTTTAGGTTTTAAACTGTTCCTCTTAGGTTTTGTCTAATCTATAATCTCTAACAAAATTTGTTAAATTGTATCATGAGACCAGGTGTGTTTCTCACACCTTCCTGCCCCTTAATTGTACCTGGGCTTGCCTTCTTGTAATGCCTGAGCTTTTTCTCTGTCATATTTCTGCTTTCTCCTTTACAGCTCATGCTGGCCAGGTCACCTGTGTTGCCGCCTCTCCTCACAAGGACTCTGTGTTTCTTTCATGCAGTGAGGTGAGATACAACCTTTTCTCCTTCCCTAACCACACTCCAACCCTCTGTAGACCAAGGTTTCCAGAGTAGATCTCCTTGCTACTAGCTGCTTTGGATTGTGAAGCGTTTTTCTGTTCTTCTTCCTTCTAGGACAATAGAATTTTACTCTGGGATACCCGCTGTCCTAAGCCAGCATCACAGATGGGTGAGTGTGAAAGCCAGTGGTGAGAGTGGTACTAGGAACCTACCTGGAAGAGGCTTTCTTTGGCCAGAGTCAAATCAAAGTTGCCAGATACCCAGTCTAGTCACTGTGACATAAGTGACATAATCTCCTTCTTTCCCACTGAAGCTCTGCTAACTCCATTCTAGGCAATAAAAGGGCCAGTTCCCAGGTGTAAGATTTACTTTGTTGGATGGGTGGACAAAGGGACCAGAATTGTTATCTTCATGCATTCTTGAGATTTGCCTGTGACTCATGTCCAGAAAGGGCAGGAGGCCAGTATATGAGGCTCAAGGATGAAGACATTACTGCCTTAGTAGGATTTGGGAAACCAAGTAAAGGTGCTTCTGGAATTTAGAGTGACCTTGTTTGAGAAGCTGCTTCTTCTGGGCTCTGAGTTTTGTTCCAGACCTGTCTTTTCTCCTTTGCAGGCTGCAATGCCTCTGGCTACCTTCCTACTTCACTGGCTTGGCATCCTCAGCAAAGTGAAGTCTTTGTCTTTGGTAAGATAGCGTGTCAGACTTCATAATGGAGGGCTGCAGAGGTGGGATGATCCCAAAGTAGTTTTAGTTTAGCTTTAAAGAACATGATGTTTTTTCCCCAGTGGATTCGATTCCTGATTCATTGTTATAGCTCCTGTATTCTGGGTATGGCTAGAAGTCACTGAGCCACAAAGCAAGTGGATTGCTGTATAGGGAATTCTGTTCTACTGTGGGTAGGTGTGGAGCTATCATGGTGATGAGGCCATGCATATGGTGACATAGTTTGTGGTTAAAATAACTACTTCATCCATTAATTTGATTTACACCATCCAGTGACTTGCTATTCCTACTTTGCAGAAGAGGAAACTGATGCTCAGAGTGGTTAATTTGTCCACTCTTGAGAAAGTAGGATTCAAATCCAGGTCTAGCTAACACCAAAGTCCATGCTCTTTACGACTGTGACACGCTCCTTTTTTTGTAGGTAATGAGAATGGGACTGTCTCCCTTGTGGACACCAAGAGTGCAAGCTGTGCCCTCAGCTCAACTGTACATTCCCAGTGTGTTACTGGGCTAGTGTTCTCCCCACACAGGTACTGATTTTTGTCATCAGGGGCCTGGTGGATATGAATGGGAACAGCAAGGGGGGATGTGTATGTTGGTAAAGTATTAGCTGATTAGGTATTTCCTTTAAGCAGATAGTGTTCCAGCTGAGGTTTCAGAATGTCAAAGACCTCTTAAGACCCTAATCCTTTTTCAGATTGTATAATTTCTGAAAATAGCTGAAATCTGTTCCCATTCCTGCTCAACACCCAAAATGATTAATACTGTGGGCTTCTAGGACTATGAGGTTGGAAGAGCCTGTGTTTCTGGGTTACTACTGTAGCTATAGAGAGACTAGATGGGGTAGTTCTTTGCCAAGATGATTGTCAACCTGGCTTTGCTTCATTTCCTTCATCTTTCCTTGGAACTTGTAACGTAGACTTGAGTGGTAGCCAGGCTTAGCCAAAAGTGGGGGTCGGGCCGCCTTTTCTGGGTCAGTGTACAGTGGGGGTGGGGCTGGGCCAGTCAAGATTATGTCTTGGGATCCATGGGCTTTACCTTTCACAGTGCTGTCTCCCTCTCCTAGTATTCCCTTCCTGGCCTCTCTCAGTGAAGACTGCTCACTTGCTGTGCTGGACTCAAACCTTTCCGAGGTGTAAGTATGAAGTAAAATCCTGTGATTGGGAATCAGGCAGGGGGAGCAGCAGGTAGACAAATCTTTTTTCTTTTCAGAAAAATGTGTTGTCTGTTTGGAGAATTCTCCATCTATATATGAAGGGCCTGGGTCATGGAAGCAGGCAGACAGTTGACTGAGACCAGCACTCTGTTCCTGGGGCTGATTCACAACCAGCTGTGTCCCTGGTAGAGGAGGAATATGGGTGGAATTTCTAAGTCTAGCATTCCAGCCCTCTCCCACAAGGGGACAGTCTACCCTTTCCACATAAAGAGCTGTGTATGTGAAATGCAGCCTCCAATGGGATAAAAGGCACCAGAAGGAAGAACCTGAATTGTACTCCCCTCTTTGCCATGGTTTGCTGCCTGATGCTGGCCCATATTGCTACCTCACTCCATCCACCATTTTCTTCCTCTGTGAAAATAGAGGACCAGATCAGATGATTGCTGTCATCCCCTGTGGATAGCTACATTGCTACACAGATGGTGAAATGTGTGTAACACACACAAAAAATGTTCCCTGGATGTGCTGGATTCTCTTTCTTTTCCAAGTCTGCTTTTTCTTCTTATCTTTACCATGCCTCGACTTTTTTTTTCTTTTTTCTAGGTTTAGAAGCCGAGCCCACAGAGACTTTGTGAGAGATGCTACTTGGTCCCCACTCAATCACTCTCTCCTTACCACGGTGGGCTGGGACCATCAGGTCATCCACCATATTGTGCCCACAGAACCTCTCCCAGCCCCTGGACCTGAGAGTGTTGCTGAGTAGATTGGATTTAAGACAAAAAGCAAGTCCCCCTTGAGTATCCACTTCTTTGCCCCTGCATCCTCAGCTTGTGAGACACGCAGGAACCTTCTACAGTATGTTGATACACTAGATCTGTGCAGTTGCAATAGGCATTGTCTCCCAGCCCAAGGAAGGCTGGATTCTGGGATCCTGTAGTCAAGAGTGGAAAAACTTTCTTAAAAATGGATATGTATGTATGTCTGAGTGTGTGTATAGATCTGTGGTTATTGGTGGGAGGGGAATAAATATATCCAACCCACATATTCCCTAAGCACTGCCCCACCTTCTTGCCAAAAAAATTGATAAAAGTGTTTTATGCTTCCCATGTAGCTGTTTATGAGGAATTGGCCATGTCTGGATGGGGTATGGGATGTGGGTATCCCTGGATTCTTGGAACCAGCTCTTATACTACTCATAGGGATCAATTTTATTTTTCTATAGCGCTTAAGTCACCATTACCATGGGAAATGCTTCCAATCACAAAAATTCAGCCCACCTCACTTTGAGAAAGGCAAGACATGCCAGTTTTTTTTTGTTTGTTTGTTTTTGTTTTTGAGACAGAGTCTCGCTTTCTTGCCTAGGCTAGAGTGAGTGCCGTGGCATCAGCCTAGCTCACAGCAACCTCAAACTCCTGGGCTCAAGCAATCCTACTGCCTCAGCCTCCTGAGTTGCTGGGACTACAGGCATGAGCCACCATGCCCGGCTAATTTTTTATATATATATATATATTAGTTGGCCAATTGATTTCTTTCTATTTTTATAGTAGAGACGGGGTCTCGCTCAGGCTGGTTTTGAACTCCTGACCTTGAGCAATCTGCCCGCCTCGGCCTCCCAGAGTGCTAGGATTACAAGCGTGAGCCACCGCGCCTGGCCTAACATGCCAGTTTTATACAACTCTTTGCCACTAAACTCAATCAGAAATCCATTTTCTGGCTGAATAAGAAGTTTGGCTGGTACCTGTGTAATGCCCACTCCCTTCTGCCCATTCCCTTCCCTCTGCTCCCCAGTGGTATTGTATATGTGAGAGAGGAGTGTTTTTCTGTGATATATGCCATAGGGAAAAGTTGGGGGATGATGGAGAGCTTAAATAAGGCATTTCAGTTAAGTTAAAAATCTGGCACTGTTATAGAGGAATCTTTACTGCTTTTCCTACCTGAAAATGGCCTGAGGCCTGACCTCTTCTGCCTCTGGGCCCTGTTTCCTGGATATAGAAAGTCTGAGTGCTGCATTTGTAGACTCCTAAGGTTTTTAAACCCAGCATCAGGAAGAGAATCAGAAATACTGGTTGGTAAAATAAACAGTTTAGGCATTGTTTGCCTGTCTTTTTTAAAGTCTGTGTGTTATGTGCAGTTGGACATATTTCTCTTATGTGAATCATTAGGGTGAGAATAGCCCATTATTTTTTCTGTGCATCTCCAGCTTCCCAAAATAACTTGTTGGACCTTTTTAGGGTAAACATTTATTTACTCCTTGGGATGGTGGAGTGGCTATTGTCAGAAGTCATGGGTCAGCTACTGATTGTATTGAAACTAAATATAATGGGGGCCAGACATGGTGGTTCTCACCTGTAATCCTAGCAGTTGGGAGGCCAAGGTGGGAAGATCTCTTGAGGCCAGGAGTTCAAGACCAGCCTGGGCAATGTAGTGAGACCATCTCTACAAAAAAAAAAAAAGAAGAAAGAAGGAAATTAGGCGGTGTGGTGGCACACACCTGTAGTCCCAGCTACTCGTGAGGCTGAGGCAGGTGGATCGCTTGAGCCCAGGAGTTGAGGTTGCAGGGAGCTATGATCAGGCCATTACACTCCAGCCTGTGCAACAGTGAGACCTTATCTCTTAAAAAAAAAAATGAAAGAAAGAAAATATAAGCAATTATGTACTTTTGAGCTTTGCAAGTTTAATTTATGAAACTGGGGCAATTTGAAGGAATATGGGCAAAATATTTCTAAGGAAAACTTCCGTGCTTCATCCTTGCCGTGATTACCCTTGAATAAAACGTGAATTTGTAGTTATATGATCCCATGGGGTTGGGGTAAGGTGGGAATAAAGTCTTCCATTGTTTTTATAACTTGGGAGGGAATACGGAGGGTATGTAGAATCACTTAAGTTCTACTTTGCAGAGGTAAAATTTAAATTTTGTGATCACTTAGAGAAAGGGGATGAGGGGTGTGAACCAAGTAGGAATTACATTTGCGTAGCCCTTTTCTTCATTGACTTAAGAATGGTGGAGAAAAGACTTAGTGAAAGAGGTAAGAATCCAAGGAAATACATATATATGTGTGTGTGTCAAGGTGGTTAAAATGACATCAAACAAAGCATAGTTTTTGAAGAACCACATTATCTTTTATTATAAAAAATAGTTTGAATTCAGATAGATCTGTGCTGATGAGAATAATTCACATCTATTAGTGATTGCCACCAATATATTCATAAACCTAGTCAAAGTCACAGTAGGAATGATCACAATTTTGGATGAATGTATATGTTACCGTGAGCAAAGAAGATAGTTCAAAATAGAAGGTGACCTGAAAATAATTAGAAATGTAACATCACATGTGGAGTGAGTGATTCACTAGGTCCTTGACTTGAGCATAGTTCCAGTAGAGTAGGATGGACTTTCTGATCATAGATGGAAATGTGGTCAACTTATTTTGTTTGTTTAAAAACATACAAATATTTTGCATTTAATTTCCCTGGTTCTAAACACTGGAGTAAATCCATTTCCGTATCATTGTTCTTACTCTGAAGTCAATTAATCCAACCCACTATATTCCACTACTGATCTCGGGTCCACTGAGGTCTAGGAGGCTCACCCCTTGAGTAGTGCTTGGAACTACAAGGAACATTGAAGGCATTAGACATTGGGCTGATTCCCAAGGTATCTCTCCTGCCCCACAGGACAGTTGGACTCTGGTTCTTTAATAGCTATACAGATATTACCTACTGGTTCATAATCACATTATAGCCCCCAAAACAAGCTCTAACTGCTCTGGGCCTCCAGTCTTATTTCTTCTGGACAACATGTTAGGGCAAGAGATAGGAGGGTCCCTGTATTTTATTTTTAAAATCAGATTCAACTTCAGAGGACTGTAACTTTCTTGCACTTCTAGACCTGAAAATAAAGGGCTCTGATTTTTATTCTTGCATTTTGAGAGCATAGGTAGTGTATGTTTGTATTTCAGTAGTTTGACTTTGTGTCTACAAACTAAATGAGAATAGAAAAATGGTGTGTTCTAAGATATAGTTACATAAGCATTTCAGTAGGACATACACTGTTTTTTTGCATTCTGGGAAGCTTTATGGCATCTAAGGAAAGTTAACATATACAAAAGAAGCCGAGAGAATTCATATCCAGTCACTGTAGCAAGCTGCTTATTGCCAACCTGTGGGTCACACTGAACACATTAAAATCACTTGTGTAGGAAATTGATGTTTGGAAAGAGTGTCAGCAAGCTGTAGTCTCAATTTTGAATTAAAATTTCAAGAACTTCATCAACAGACTACATAATACAGTTTTCGAAAAGTAAGCAAGGTAAGTAGACCACTCTTGGAGCCCAAATGCATTTTCTTGTTACATTCTCTATCAAAAATGGGCAATTATGGAGTTTGTCTTTGTTACATGATCATAGGACTAGTACAATCCAGAGGGACTAGTTTAATCTAGAGGGAGAGGAAAGGTTAACTGTTGTTTTAAGTTGTAGACACAATCGGTGATCCTGTAATCTTTTATCATCTGGCATAACATTTAATGTAATATTCCACTTACTGTGGAAACCCTCATTGTCTCACAAATGATGTTCTGCGGCTTTACTACATAATGAATGGATCATCAAAATTGATAAGATTACTAAACAAAGAGTTTAATCCCCAAACAACATTATTTAATGTTAAGGTGGTATACTGGTGGAAGCCCAGCCAGTGTAATTAGTTGAAAGTTCCTTCCGTGAATATAGATACATTTCACCTGTCCCTGTGATGGAGGGGTGCCAGACTCTAGTGAAACATTTCACTTTAGCAGGCACCATGTTCTAAGCATTAGGGATTTCAGTTCCAAACTGAAAATTTCCACTATGGTAGTAAGTAACTCTATCTGGGGTCTCAAGCTAAGTAATTGTTTTGCATCAGGAAATGCACTTCATATGTATAAGTTAAATCAGATTCTGCAATCTGCAACCTGTCTCACAGAAACTCTCTGAGTAGAATTAGAACCTGGCTGATATATGGGACCCTTTAAAACCATTATCCAACTTCAGTTTGCTTGGCAGAGTGAACATTAATGCTACCTTTAGGCACCCAGAGACAGGTGAGACAGCTGTGTCCACCACCATCTCTGGACCTGTGGTGGTGGAGTCCTTGTAACAGGAACAACTTGGGTCTCATTTGACATTTTTTAGTTGATTTTTTAAAAAATTATGGCAAAATATACATCATGTAAAATGTATTATTTTAACCATTTTTAAGTGTACGATGTGGTATTAAGTCCATTTATATTGTTCAACTCTCACCACTATTTCCAAAACTTTTTCATCATCCCAAACTGAAACTCATTAAACAATAAGCCCTCGTACCCCAGACCCTGGCAATCACAATTCTACTTTCTGTTTCTATGAATTCAACTATTCTAAGTTCCTTATATAAGTGGGATCATACAATATTTGGTCTTTTGTGTCTGGCTTACTTGATTTTATAAGATTGACTTGTTCTTCAAAGTCTGATCCATAGGTTAGCAGCATTGGCATAATCTGGAACTTGGAAATACAAAATGTCCAGACCTGCTAAATCAGAATTTACATTTTCAAAAGCTTCCCAGGTGACTTATGCATGTTAAAACTTGAGACCCACTGATGTAAATTACCTAAATTTACAATGTAAATGTAAATTGAGGACACCAGATGGCTCAGAATTGAGGTAGAGAAATTATCAGTCATTCAATGGTGAGCAGCTATGATGTATCACAAACTGTTAGGCATTGTGAGTTTTGGCAGTGACCAAGACAGACATACTTATCCTGCCTGCAGCAGCTTAGTCTAGGGAGAGAGAGAGAGAGGACAAAATTAGTGTTTAAGTGCTAGCCAAAATAAGTAAAGATTCCTTGAAAAGGGTCATGTCCAACACATGAAGTAGTGATAAATTTTCCCTAATGAAGCGACATTTAGATTTTTTTTAGTTTATTTTTATCTTAGAAATATTTAGTTCACAAATATTGTATGTACTCAAGATGTATAACATGATTTGATATACATGTATAATGATTATCACAATAAAATTAACACATCCACTACCAGCCATGCTGTACATTAGATTCCCAGAATTTGTTCATCTTATAACA